TGTGTTCCCTTTCTCACTGTGTCTCTCTCTGTCAAATAAATAAATAAAATATTTTAAAAATATTTAAAAATTAAAATAAAAAAAAACCACAAATGTGCCACTCTGGTGTAGGATGTTGATAGTGGGGGAGGCTGTACCTGTGTGGAAGCAAGGAATATATGGGAACTCTGTATACTTTCCACTCAGTTTTGCTGCCCTAAAAACCGAAGTTTATTTTAAAAAATGTGGCTCAGCCGGTTAAGTGTATGACTCTTGATTTTGGCTCAGTTCATGATTTCAGGGTTGTGAGGTCAAGCTCCATGTTAGCCTCCAGGCTGGGCATGGAGCCTGCTTAAGATTCTCTCCCTCTCCCCTTTTCATCCCCCCCCCCGCAACTCTCACTCTCTCTCTCTCTCTCTCTAAAAAAAAAAAATTTAATTGAAAGGAGCATCAGTGTGGGACAATGACAAAGGATCTAAAGTTCCTGTCCTGAAGAGGAGAATGCGTGGGGCTGAAAAAGTACTCAAAGAAATTATGGCTGAAAACTTTTCAAATTTGGCAAGAGATACAAACGTAGGATTTGAGAAGCTGAGTAAAACCCAAATGAGACAAACCTGAAGAAATCCACACCAAGATACATCGTAGTCAAATATCTGAAAACTAAAAACAAAGAAAAAACTTTCAAAGCAGAAAGAGAAACAACACTTTGTCAGTAAAGAAATAGCAATTCAAAAGACAGAAAATTTCTCATCAGATACCATGGAGGCCAACAGAAAGTGACACAACATTTTTCAAAAGCTGAAAGAATAGTGAATCTAGAGTCCTACCTCCAGTGAAAATATCCCTCAGGAATGAAGGGGACATCAAGATATTTTCAGATGAAGGAAAACTAAGAGCATTTGTCACAAGGAGACCTACGTGAGGGAATGGGTAATTGAAGTTTTCTAAACAGTAAAGCTAATAGAAGAAATCTTAGAAAATTGGGAAGAAAAAACATGATAAGCAAAACTATAGGCAAATAGAGTAGACTTTCTTTCTCCCCTTGAGTTGTCTAGTGTTTGAAGGTTGAGGCCAGAAATAGAAAATTAATGTGGTTCTAAATGTACATAGAGGACATTAAAGAGAATTGTATTATAAATGGGTGAGGGTAAAGGAATGCAAAAGGAGATAAGGTTTCTATGCTTTATCCAAACTGGTAAAATGACAACATCATAGATTTTTGGTACACACACACACACACACACACAAATGTACCCAGAGCACCCATTTAAAAAGTTATGCAAAGAGTTACACTCAAAAACATTATAGATAAATCAAAACTGAATTCTAAAAAATGTTTAAGTAACCCAAAGGAAGGCAGGAAAAAGAAAACAGAAATGAAAACAGACAGAACAAACAGAAAAAAATTAAATGGCAGACTTAAACCCTAACATATTAATAACTATCTTAAATGTGGGGCGCCTGGGTGGCTCAGTCAGTTAAGTTTTGACTCTTGATTTTGGATCAGGTCATGATCTCAGGGTCATGAGATCAGGCTCCGTGTGGGGCTTGAAACTCAAGAGGGAGTCTGCTTGAGATTCTCTCTCTCTCTCCCCCTCCCCTTGCCCTCGTGCATGCGTGCACATGCACTCTCTCTCTCTCTAAAATAAATAAATAAATCTTAAAAAAACTACCTTAAATGAAATGACCTATATATACCAATTGAGAGACAGAGATTGGCAGAGTGGATTAAAAACCATGACCCAACTACATGCTATCTACAAAAAACTCACTTCAAGTACAATAATATTAGGAGGTTGAGAGTAAAAAGGCTAGAAAAATATATATAATGCAAACAGTAATGAAGAAAAAGGAGTGGTTATATCAATATCAAATTAAGTGGATGTTAGAGCAGAGAAAATTACCAAAGACAGAGAGGGGCATTACATAATGATTAAAGGAGTGAATCCACCAAAAAGAGAAAGCGAGCCTAAGTATGTGGGATTTGCAACAGAGGTATAAATTATGTGAAGCAAAACCTGGTAGAGCTGAAAGGAGAAATAGAAAAAGCCGCAATTACAGTTGGAGACTTCCTACATTCCTCTCTCAACAATAATAGAATTAGGGGCGCCTGGGTGGCTCAGTCGTTAAGCGTCTGCCTTCGGCTCAGGTCATGATTTCAGGTTCTGGGATCGAGCCCCGCATCGGGCTCCCTGCTCGGCGGGAAGCCTGCTTCTCCCTCTCCCACTCCCCCTGCTTGTGTTCCCTCTCTCACTGTGTCTCTCTCTCTCTCTGTCAAATAAATAAATAAAATCTTTAAAAAAAAAAAATAATAGAATTAGACAGAAAATCAGGAAGGATATAGAAATCAACAACACTATCAACCAATGTGATCTGAAGAACATTTATAGAACATGTCACCCAACCATAGCAGAATACACATTCTTTTCCAGCGCCCATGGAACATATGTCAAGATAGAGCATATTCTGGGGCAGGAACAAACCCCAACAAATTTTTATTTTTTTTAAGTAGGCTCTATGCCCAACATGGGGCTTGAACTCATGACCCCCAGATCAAGAGTCACATGCTCCACCCACTGAGCCAGCCAGGCGCCCCCAAATCCCAACAAATTTAAACGAATTGTGTTTAAATGCGTATGTACTCCAACCACAAAGGAATCAAAGTAGAAATCAAAACCAGGAAGATAATGGGAAAATCTGCAAACACTTGGAAACTACTCATTCACTCCTAAATAACCCATGGGCCAAAGAGTCTCAAGGGAATCCAAAAAATACATTGAACAGAAGGAGAATGGAAATACAATATACCCAAACTTGTGATTTTTGACAAAGGTGCAAAACCAATTCAATGGAGAAAGCATAGCCTTTCCAACAAATGATGCTGGAGCAATTGAACAACCACAGGCAAGAGAATAAACTATGACCTAAGCCTCAAACATTACACAAAATAGATCACAGATTTAAACATACCACCTAAAGCTATAAATCTTTGAGTAAAAGACAGGACAAAATTTTGGGGATCTCGAGTTAGATAAAGAGTTCTTGACACCAAAATCATGACCCATAGGAAGAAAAACTGATAAATTGCACTTCACCAAAATTTAAAACGTTTGCTCTGAGAAACACCAGGTAAAAAGATGGAAAAGACAAGTCACGGTGTGATAGAACATATTTGCAAACCACATATCCAACAAAGAACAAGTATCTGTGATATATAAAGAACTCTCAAAACACAACTGCAAAAAACAGTCCAGTTGTAAAATGGGCAAATGACAGAAACATTTTACCCAAGAGGATGTGGCATAGATGGCAAGAGAGCACATGCAAAAATGAACATGATTAGCCACTAGGGAAATACAAGTTAAAACCACAGTGAGATGTCACTACACGTGCATCAGAATGGCTAAAATGAAAAATAATGACACCACCAAATGCTGGTGAGGATGCAGAGAAACTGGATTCCTCATACACTGTTGGTGGGACTGTCCAATGGTACAGCACTAGGGAAAATCATTTCTGAAAAAACTAAAATACACTTATAATATGACCCAGCAATCGCACTCTTGGGCATTTTTCCCAGAGAAATGAAGACTTTTGTTCACACAAAAACCTATACACGAATGTTTATAGCAAGTTTATTCATAATAACCCCAAACCCGGGACAACCCAGAGGTCTTCAACAGGTGAATGGCTAAACAAACTACAATGTATCCATATCATGGACTACTACTTAGCAATAAAAAGGAGTGAAGTTTAAGATATGCAACAACTTGGACAAACGTCCACTTTCCTCATTTGTAATAAGATGTTGGGGGAGCAGGGTGTCTCAAGGGCCTTCCTGTTTGGGAACTCAAGATACAGATGAGCAGAGTGGGGCAGGATGAGGGCATATTTGGAAGCGCTTAGGGCTTGTATTTATTTTATATTTTATTTTATGTTATGTTTTCGAATTTTTAGAGATTCAAAATAAACAGAAGGAACTGGCTCGATGGATGCCAGCTGTTGTGTTTCACGGGCATCCTACGGAGCCCATTTTGGAAGCCGGGAACTCAGGAGGAGGAGAGTTTAGGGTAGTTGCATTCTGTTAGCAAAGGCCATAGAGTCTGCTTAGTTGCAGGGAATGAGTTTCAGAAGAGTGGCTCTTGCCTTCTTACAGTGAGATCTTACACTTAAATTAGTGTAAGACCTAACCTGAAAGGACTCTGTGTTCCCAGGCACATTAGGAAATGTAAAGGTTCACCAGTCAGGGGACGTGAAAAACGAGAAAGGCGCCTTGCCCCCCGAACACTACGAGTAACGGGAAGTCCATCGTCAGAACACATTTACGTGGTGGTATAGTATTTGTTATGTGATTCTCAAGCATGACCAGCGCCTGTATTGTGTTCAAGTTTGGAGATGAGGTAGCGGGGGCACCTGGGTGGCTCAGTCGTTAAGCGTCTGCCTTCGGCTGGGGTCATGATCCCAGGGTCCTGGGATCGAGCCCCGCATCAGACTCCCTGCTCCACAGGAAGCCCGCTTCTCCCTCTCCCACTCCCCCTGCTTGTGTTCCCTCTCTCGCTGTGTCTCTCTCTGTCAAATAAATAAATAAAATCTTTTTTTTTTTTAAGATTTTTAAATAACTAAAATCTTAAAAAAAAAAAAAAAAGAAATGAAGTAGCGACAGAGTCCATGAACGATTCTACAAGACTGATTGGTACACATAGTATTCAAAGTGGAAGTTTTTCCACGCGGGATTCAAACCTTGCTACACTCAGAAGCAACCGTTGCTACGGGGTCTGATGGGGGTGTATTTAGGGTCTCCCAACAGCCAATCTTAGTGCCAGGCGTTTTCGAGGGGGCGTAGCCGTGTAGAGACAGTGGCCAATGGCAAAGAGGGCAACCACCGGGTGATGTGAGCCGAGTGCAGCGGCGAGGGGAGGCTGAGGACCCGCAGCGTGTTCCGGGGTTTGAGCTGTTAGTCTGAACTGTAGCCGGTACTTCAGCTGCCACCCATCTTCGAGTCTCACCTGCCGTTAAACGTCATGGAAGATTCTCAGAGTGAGCAACAGCGGATAATACGACGCCACCACCACGAGAAGAACGAGCTTCAGGCCCGCATCCAGGCCATGAAGAACTCGGTGCCCAAGAGCGACAAGAAGAGAAGAAAGCAGTTGCTCCTAGACGTGGCCCGCCTCAAGGCCGAGTTGGAGCAGAAGCACCAGCAGGAGCTGGAGAAGTTCCAAGAGAGTTTCCCTGATGACAGCAACCTCGACTCCATCACGGAAGATCTCGCCAAGATGAATCTTGAGAACCAGCCTCCCTGCCAGTCTAGGGCACAGAGAAGGCGCGAAAAAAGGGCGGCCCTCGAGAGAGAGCGCCAGGAGAGGATCGCCGAGGCCGAGATGGAGCACCTGGCCAGCTTCCGCCGCGAGGAGGAGGAGAAGCTCGCCGCCATCCTAGGGTCCAAGAATCTGGAGCTGAAGGATATCCCGGCCGACGGCCACTGCATGTATCGCGCCATCCAAGACCAGCTGGTGTTCTCCGTGACGGTGGAGAGCCTGCGGAGCCGCACCGCTGATTACATGCGCAAGCACGTGGACGACTTCCTGCCCTTCTTCACTGACCCCGACAGCAGCGACTCCTACAGCCGCGAAGAGTTCCTGAGCTACTGCGACGAGATCGTGCGCAGCCCGTCGTGGGGAGGCCAGCTCGAGCTGAGGGCCCTGTCGCATGTCCTGCAGACCCCCATCGAGGTGATCCAGGCCGATTCGCCTGCCATCGTCATTGGGGGGGAGTACACCAGGAAGCCGCTCACTCTCGTCTACCTGCACTACGCCTGCAACCTCGGCGAGCACTACAACTCGGTGAGGCCCCTGGAGGCCAGCGCCGTCGGGGGCGCGGCCCCGCGGCTCTTCTAGGCCGGCCAACATAGTCGCCATCGCCGCCGCCGCCGCGTCTCCTCAGTAGGCTCCATTTTTTTCCTTCGGTTTTCTCGTTTTTGTCTTGCTTCGTTTTACTTGAAAGTCGTTCCCCATCCCCACCCCCACCCCACCCCCAGCCCGCCACCACCACCACCACCACTACCACCACTCTTCTCAACCCCATTCCCCAACGCCCGCTCTCTCTTACCAGGCGGTTCTAGCCCCTTCTCTCACTCATTCATTGCTTGGGGGGCTGGAATGGGGGAGACTCGGGACAAGGGAAAGATCTGTACTGTACTATCTGAGGGGAGTAGTTTGGCCACATGTTAACATCTTGCCCTTAAGGGTCTTTGCCTCCCTCGCAGATGAGAATTGGACATGCCGCACGTGCCTTTGAGATCAAAATGGAAACTTGGTTTGATGCATTCTTAACTGGGGAAAAATTAGTTTAGCTCGGGATCTTCGGATCGTCCCGTGAATACACTGGGTTTTAGATAAAGGTGGAGTTTCTGTGATCGAAATGCTTTGCGAATGCCTCCTGCTTATTCTTTGGAAATAAATGTATCGCGGGCTGTTTGGGGGGTTGCTTTTTACTTCAGCTGGGCTATTCTGCAGATGTCTCAAGTTATGAACAAGAGCTCCTCTAGTATTTTGTTTTGTTTTCATACAAGCTTGTGTGGTTCGCAATTAATTTTCCTTATTTAGGATTTGCTAAAGTCTACATAAGAGCGTTTGTTAAACTTAGAAATTAAATGTACCTACTAAACATAGAAATTAAATTTACAAAAACTGATAGGTTAGGTAAGGTTCACTCTGAGATGTGAAAGATCTCAAGTTAATTTCCTTTATTAAAGATAGGAAGGGATACAACTTTATTCAAGGAGGTAATCCATTTCATTTTGTCTTCAACTGGAACGAAGCAAAAAGAGACACACTGATAGGCAGCTTAACTTCCTGTAAGGGTGAGACCCGAACTAGTAAGTTTTCTTTACTGTGAGACATGAAAGGGTACAACTTTATTCAAACAGTTCAAAAAAAAAGTGAGCAATCTACTTTTGTTGATAGTCAAGACTTGTTGATATCTTGAGTTCACCGGTAGAATAGTAAAAATGAAACGATTTACAATAAGCAGTTTAAAAGTTTTCAAATCTTTAGATCCTGGGTTTCAGTGAGGCTGCTTAGTTTCATTTAAAAAGTCCATTGTACACGCCAGATGTTCTAAAACAAAATATATAAATTCAAAATTTTTAAAAAATATTATGCAACTTGTTTTAAAAATAAAAGTGTTAAAAATACCTGGTTCTCTATTTTTGTGTAGCTGATTTAGTTTGTACAGAGTTTGTATCCCAGAATCTGCTTCAACAAAGGAGTCCTGGAGGGTTAGGGAGAGGAGTTGGGAGCCAGATAAGGCTTTGGGGAGGAGGACTGGCCTGGTGGCAGCCTGGAGTGGAGCGTTCCCCAGGAAAGGATTTAGGGAGGAACTTTATCTAGAGGCTGTCCAGAGTTGATGTTTCACTCTGGGAAAAACATCCTGAAATGGTTTTGTTTAGGGATATTCTCATTGCTATGCGTGAAAAAAAAAACTCCCACTTCCAGCAAAGAGTGAAATCCTGCCAGGTAGCTCACCGTGCAAATATGTGTCAGAGAAGTTTCAGATGGCCAGCTGACTGAGAAGAAGAGGCCCCTGAGAAAACCAGGGATTGGGGTGCACTGTAAGAAGAAGGCCTTTTATAGGGCTGAGAAGACTGGCTGCAGAAGAAAGACAAGGCCCAGAAGGGAGGCATAATCTATAGAAGGGTGCCTGGCTGGGAAGGAGGGTGAAAGTTGGGGAAGGCATCAGCCTAGAAGGAAGAATGGGATGTGATGGGGAAAGCGGGCACAAGCTGAGGAAGGGGACTAAGCTGATGAACAGGGCATAGGCAGTAAAGAGAGCCTGGGTAGAGGAGGGGAACTGCAGGGGGTATAGGACACAGGTGGGCAAAGGGGACCTGACTGGGGACACGGGCAAAGGCTGGTGAAGGCTTCCAGAAATGGGAAGGGTGCTCTACTGGAGTGAGCTGCGTTGGGTGCGGGAGGGGGCCTGGCTAGGGTAGGAGACCTTGATGGAGAGGGTGGCACAAGCTGGGAAAGAGGGCCTGGTTGCAGGAGGATTCCTGGCAAGGGAAGTGGTCCAGGCTAGGGGCGGGAGCATAGGCTGATGAAGGGTTTCTGGTAGGAGAAGATGGCCCCAGCGGGGGTGGGTTTTATAAGGAGGGGAAGGGAAGCTGACTGGGAACTAGGTCACTTTCTGGGCAAGGGATCGGGGTAGGGGGCTCGAATAAGACTGGAAAGGAGGCTAGCTGGGGACTGAGACACTGGAAGGAGGAATAGACTGGTGAAGGGTCTACTCTTCGGAGCAGAAGGTCTGGCTGAAGGGCACACTGGGTGTTGTAAAGGGGCCCATGGTTGTTGAGTGGGGAAATGGCTGGGCCAGGCTGCCTCTCCAGGGGAGGGACGCTTGCCTGGGAAGGGGGTCTGGAAGGAGAAGGGGCCTTGCTGGGGAAAGAGGCATTGACTAGGAAACAGGGTCTGATGGGGGGAGGACCGGATGGAGGAGGGATCTTGGCTGGTGAAAGAGCCACCAGGCTTAGAAGGTTGCACAAAGCTGGAGAGGGGGCCCAGGCTGAGATGGGGACACAACTTGGGAAGGGAAAAGGGACCTGCCCCCGAAGGGGGTAGAGGCAGCAGAGGGGGTCCTTGCTGGGAAATTGGGCCTAGACGGGGAAGGGGGCTTATGTAGGTAGGGAACACAGGTTTGAGAAGGGCCATATGATGTGGAAGCGGTCACGGCAGGAGAAGGAAGCCCAGCTGGGACTGGGGAGATGTCTGGGAGGTGCTGGCTACAGGGCACTCGGGTGCTAGCTGGGAAAGGTGGCCTGGGGATAGAGGCTTAGGTGGGTAAATGGGGCCAGGCAGGGCACATGCTTATCTGGAGAGTAGGCCTGGCAGGGCAAGGAGGAATATCTTGGGGAAGAAGGAATAAGCAAAGAAGAGGGACACCAGAGCGGGCAAGAGAACCTGGCTCTGGACCAGGGCACAGGGTGGGGAAATAGGTCTGGCTAAGAAGGGGATAATGGGGGAGGGGGCTGGTTAGGGAAGGAGGAATTGGCCGGTCAAGGGAAGGAGGCCTAGTTGAATTAGGGGGCAAAGGATGAGAAAGGAGGTCTTGACTGTTAAAGGGGGATGGGGGAAGCCTGGGGGAAGGGCACCTGGCCAGGGAAAGAAATCTGGCTGGGAAAGTAGGCATCAGCTGGGGAGGACATAGACTAGGAAGGGGCCTAGATATGGGAACGTGCCTGTATTGCAAAGGGAGAACAAGCATGATCGGTGGCACAAGCTGAGGATGGGAGCCTGGCTGGAATGGGGGCACTGGGAGTGCACATCCCCTGGCAGGGAAAGGTGGCCTGACTGGGGAGGGGCTCTGGCAGGGGAACAGGGCCTGGGAGGGAAGGGGAAGGTCTGCCTGGGGAGGAACATGCAGGCTAGGAAAGGAACCTGGTAGTGGGAGAAGTTTGGACACCAAGAACCACATGAACTGGGCATGGGATAATAGGCAGGTTAATGGACCTAGCCAGGAGAGGGGAGCTAGCAGGTGGAGGACCTGAAGGCATGTGCCTTGACAGAGGTCCTGGCTGAGGGAAGGTATGTGGTTGAGGAAAGGGACCTAGCTGAGAAGGAGGGCATAGGACAGGAAGGGGAGGCAGTCTGACGGAAGGGGGATAAGCTAGACAAGGGACTTGGCTGAGGAAGGGGGCCTTACTGGGAAGGAGGCTTGCCTGGGAAGATGAGCCTAGACTGGGGGAAGAGGATGTAGGTCCCTCAGTGAAGAGAGCCTGGCTGGGGAGAGGAGTCTGGCTGGGAAAGAGCTCCTACCTGGAGAAGGAGACCAGGCTTAGCATGGGGACACCTAGGGGTGAAAGGGGCCTGGCAGGGAAAGATCACAGAGCTGGGGAGGGGACTTGACAGGTGTGATTCAGAGCTGAGAGAGGAGGAGGCACTGGCTCTGAGAGGCCAGTGAAGGGGCAGCTCCTTGGGAAGGTGATCAGCTGAAGAGGGGAAAGGCTGGGCACGGGCTGAGGAGGGGTAACAAGCTGGGGCAGGGGATCCTGGCAAGGGTTGCTGCTGCCAAAGGGATACTGGCTGGGAATGTGGCTCGGCTGGGGATGGGGTAGAGGTGGGTAGAGGTGGGTAGAGGGGAAGCCTACCTAGCAGCGGTTGGGAGCCCGTCTGGGGAGCTGGCCTCGGCTGGGGAAGGGGCCTTAGTTGGGGAGCAAGGCATAAGTAAATGAAGAGAGCCTGACCAAGTTGAAGGGACCTGGCTGAGAGAGAAGGCACGGCTAGGTTCCACATACAGGCAGGTTAAGGGCTTCTGATGGGGGAAGTGTAATCTGCTGGGGCAGGCTGCCTGACATGGGGAAAAGGGACTACCTGGAAAAGGGGGCCCAGCTCCTAACGGGGTAGGTATTGACTGAGGACCAGGGTTAGGGAAGTGGACCTGGGTGAGGAATGGGGAAGAGGCTGGTGACACAGACCAGGGGCTAGGCTGGTGATACGGACTAAGGCCTTGGCTAGTATAGAGTATAAATTCATATGGGGTAAAAGAAGGATTCCTGGCTTTTGGAGGGGGAAGGGCTAGGGAGGGGCACCTGGCTAGGGGAGGGATTCTGGAGAGTTCTCTGCACACAAAGTAGGGGGATACTGGATGCGGTTGGGGCACTGTTGAGGGGGAAAAGTGAGCTGGCTGGGGAATGGGGCATGGGTTGGGCAAGGGCCCTACCTGGGGAAGAGGGCACTCCTGGATGATGTGAGCCTTGCTGGGATGCGTGCTGTGGGGTGGGAGGGGGGCTGGGGGTGGGGAGGGGGCTGGTGCTGCCCAAGGAATTCTGTGGCAACTAAACAAAGACAGCAGACAGCAGAGTCCCGTTGTACAAGCTATCCCTGAATATGAGGGAAGTAAC